TTTTGCAGCAACCTGGATGGAACTAGAGTCTATAATACTGAGTGACCTCTCACAGAAACAAAGATCCGAGTATCACATGTTCTCACTCATATCATGAATCTTGAACATCCAATGCAATACTATAAGAAAATGACTGACGGTACTGGGAAACTATGGGGGGGGAGGGGGATGGGATTAACAGTAGCAAATATCTGTCGGGGGATGGCAAAACACCTCTTATCAACAGGGTGCCTGAATGAAACGTAATTGTACACCTAACCCTTAACTGTACCCCACAAAACCATAATAAAAAATACTGATTAATGAAAAAAAAAAAAAGAAAACGGTATTATTACATCAGCAAAACTAACAAATTCCAGAGCTGATTATTCATGCTAGGTGATTGTTTGGAGCTGTATTGTGTCCCCTCACAATGCAAATCTTGAATTCTTAACCCCCAGTGCTCAGAATGTGACTGTGTTTAGAGATAGAGCCTTTGAAGAGATGACTAAAATAAGGCCATTAAGGCAAGCCTTAATCTAATCTGACTGGCATCCTTTATAAGAGGAAAGCTGGATGCACAGAGAGACACCAGGGATGATATGCAAAGAGAAAAGACCACATGAGGACACACCAAGAAGGTGTCCATCTGCAAGCCAAGAAGAGAGGCCTCAGAAGAAACCAAACTTGCTGAGACCCTGATTAGACCCTTTTAGCCTCCAGACAGCAAGTAAATAAATTTCTGTTGTTTAAGCCACCCAGTCTGTGGTATTTTGTTATGGCAGCCCTAGCAGACTAAAACAGTGATATAAGGAACGTGAACCCTGATCCTTGACCTTACAGAGTATACTATCCATTATATTCCAAACTGTAAGCTCCATGAAGGCTTAGAGTTATACTTAGTCTGACACATAATACATGCTCAAAACAATATTACTGAAAGTATGAATGAATGAACAGGAAAGGTATTCATATGTGGAACCTCAGTTTATTTTATATACAGTATGGGATACAATAATCTTGCATTTTTGTGAATTCCTCCTGGCAGCAATTCTTAATGTATTACTAAGCTGCTATTATTCCATTCTTACTTATAACTTCCTAATTCGTATCATTTCTATATTTCTTTATATAACTAGGTGTCAACTACATCATAGCTTAGTCGAATCCTCCATATCCTCCTGGTGAATACAAGTCAACTGCAATCCTGATTTAGTTGTTGTGATGTCAAAAATCCTCAAAGCCAAACTCTACAAACAAAAGCCAGTTGCTACCACAACAGCACACACTGTCTGATTTACTAGGTCCTTTTGTTTTCAAAATGCATGCATTCTGGGCACACTGTATTTTCAATCAAACTCCAAATTATTCAGGGAAAGGGGAATTACACCAAAAGATAGTGCTACCTGAGAAGGTAAAGCCAATTAAGGTGGCACTTGATCACTTTTGCCGTAATGTCATATAAATGTAATATTAGATATGCTTGACATATACTGACCATAGTTTTTAAATTTTAAGGTTGGTGATTTAAACAAAGACTGGTTCAACTGTTGTTTACTGGCTGATTAGAAAGGAATGCTTCTGGAAAGCATAATTAAAATGTCATCGCGGTCCCAGAAAGATAGTACTTGAAAAACTGATCTGAGCCGGGCTCGGTGGCTCAGCCCATAATCCCGCGCCTTTGGGAGGCTGAGGTGAGTGGATTGCCTGAGCCCGCGGGTTCGAGACCCTCCTGGGCAGCGAGACCTCATCTCTACAATAAATCAAAAAACTAGCTGGGTGTGGTAGCGCGCATCTGTAGTTCTAGCTACTTGGAAGGCTGAGGCGGAAGGATCGCGGGAGCCCAGCAGGTCGAGGCTGCGGTGGCCGGGAGCGGCCACTGCACTCCAGTCTGGGCGACAGAGTGAGACTCCAACTCAAAAAAAAAAAAAAAAAAAGAAAAACTGATCTGAACCTGCAAGATAATGGGTAAGTAAATATGAAATACAACTTCTCCACTATATGACCTAGAACCTTGGTTTCCTCATTGTAAAATGGAGACGGAAATCCCTATTCTTATATGAGAATGCCTAAGTAATAAGATTGAAGGGAACTTCTAGTTAAAAATAACAGAATACTGTTCCTAAAAATACTATTAAAATAAAATAAAGGAATAAAAAAGGCATAATCTTATTTAAGTTCACTGTTCCCCAAAATTCTGCCTTCTCTCTCCCCTGCACCATCCCTTAGTATTGGATCATTCCCATCAATATACAGTCATGCTTTTACTCTTCCAGTTTAAAAAGCAAAAAAAAGAAAGAAAGAAAGAAAGAAAGAAAGAAAGAAAGAAAGAAAGAAAGAAACTGTCTCAATCCCACATTCCCCACTAGCTACTGTTCCATTTCTCTGTTCCTCTTTGTAGCAAAACTCACAAGAATTGTACCTATTCACTGTCCCCCTTTCTTCTCCTTCTATTCATTTGTATAAATCAGGTCCTTACTAACCCACCAAAACAGTTCACAGGAAGGTCACCTCTGAAATCCTTGTGGTGAAGTACAGTGGTCAATTCTCATCCTTGCTTTCTTGACCTCTCATCACAGCAGCATTGGGCACAGGTGATGCCTTTGTTCCTTGTTCCTTCCTTGGCTCCTAAGGATGACACATTGTCCTGTTTCCTACAACCTCACTGGCTGCTCCTTCTCAGTCTCCTTTACTAGTTCTTTCTCTTCTCTCAAACCTCTTAAAATGGGAGTGCCCGGGGTTCATTCCCTATCCCTCTTCTTTTTTCTATGTACTCTCACTACCTTAGTGATCTCTTCCCAGCCTCATGATTTTAAATGACATTGACACACTAACAACTCCTGAATTGCTCTCTTGAACTCCAAACTAATATATCCAACTACCTACTTAACTATACACTCAGATGTCTAATAGGCATCTCAAATACAGCATGTCCAAAATTGAACTACTAATCCGCTTCTACTCAAGTCTACTCTACCACAGTCCTTCCCATCTCAGGTAATAGTAACTTCATCCTTCCACTTGCTCTACCCAAACACCTGGAGCCATTTTTGCTCTTTTTCTCTTATATCTCTCATTCAAATCCACCAGGAAATCCTGTTGTCCTATCTTCAAGCAAGGTATATCCACCTCTGATGCTATCACTGGTCTATGCCACCTGTCACCTAGATTACTCCAACAGCCTCCTAACTAGTCTCTATGCTTCTACCCTTCCTCTCTTCTTGGCCATCCATTCTCAGCCCAACAACCATAGTGATCTTGTTAAAAACCTAAATCATATCATGACATCCCTATCCCACATCAAAACCTCCAGTGGCTCCCCATTTCATTCAAAACAAAAACCAAAGCCCCTACAATGACCTCCAAGGCACTACATGATCTGGCCCCCATTAACTCTCAATTAATCTCCTACTACTCTTCCCTTCACTAATCTGGGTCTATTGTTGAGTTCCTCCAAAAAACCAGCTACACTCCCAGCTTGGGGTCTTTGCAATTGCAGTTCTTTTTCCTAGAATCCTCTTCCCTCAAACCTCTGCATGGCTAACACCCTCACATCCTTTAAGTCTTTATTCCAGGGTTTCTCAATCTCTGCATTGCTGACATTCGGGGGCAGAAAATTATTTGTTGTAGGGGCTTTTCTTTTCTTTTTTTTTGAGTTGGAGTCTCACTCTGTTGCCCAGACTGGAGTGCAGTGGCCGCTCCTGGCCACCGCAGCCTTGACCTGCTGGGCTCTGGCGATCCTTCCGCCTCAACCTTCTGAGTAGCCGGAATTACAGGCGCGCGCTACCATGCCTGGCTAATTTTTGGATTTATTGTAGAGATGAGGTCTCGTCTGCCCAGGCGGGTCTCGAACCCGTGGGTTCAGGCAATCCACTCACCTCAGCCTCCCAAAGGCACGGGATTACAGACTGAGCCACCGAGCCCGGCTGTAGGGGGCTTTTCTATGCATTATAGGTTTGTTTGTTTGTTTGTAGAGATGGAGTCTTGCTGTGTTGCCCAGGTTGGAGTACAGTGGCTATTCACAGGCACAATCACAGCACTACAGTCTCAAACTCCTGGCTTAAGCGATCCTTCTGCCTCAGCCTCCCAAGTAGTCAAGACCACAGGCACATGCCACCATGCCCAGCCATTGTAGGATGTTTAACAGCATCCCTGGCCTCTACCCTCTAGATGCCAATAGCACCACCCAACTATGTCCAGTGTGGTAACAACCAAAAATGTCACCAGGCACTGCCGAATGTTCCCTGTGGGACAAAACTGCCCTCAGTTAAGAATCATTGCTTTATTCAAATATCACTTTCTCAATGAAACCTACCTTGACCCCATTTAAAATTACAACCTATACTTTCCCCAGTCTCCAGCACTTCTTATTTTCCTTACTCTGCTGTATTTTTCCCATGGCACTTATCACCTTCTAACATACCATATCATTTACTTATTTTTTTTTAAATTAGCCTCCCCCAGCTAAAATGTAAGTTCCACAAGGGAAGGGATATTGTCTTCATTATTATATCCTAATCCTCTAGAACAATGTCTAGTACTGGTAGGGGTGCAACAGGTATTGAATGAATAAATAAAGAACAAAGGTAAAGAATGAGAAGAAAACAACAGAAGAGAAAACTCAAAGTCTTAGAAGACAGAAAGTAGATCAAAGTGACAACCGACTCAGTCAGGTAAAGGAAGCTACATCTGGAGTTCCCACAGAGGAAGACCTGGCAAGAGCCATAAGGTTGATAAGCCATAAGGCTTATCTCACACTTAAAGGTGTATGACATTGCAGGAGGCATAGATGGGGAAAGGGGCATAGCTAAAATCAGGGTTTGGTTAAAAGTCTGGACACAAAATTGGTAATATCCTTATCCTACCAAAAACTTCCATCTTTCTTCTACCAGGAGACTGAAGGTTTTGTCTCGGGAGA